AAAAAAAAAAAAAAAAAAATAAGTACGTGCATTTTCCTAGTAGAAACAAATTCAAGAGTGTATTATTTGTTTTAAAAGATAACAAATCATGCAGGGGTGGCTGATTCTGAAAGACACGTGTAGAGCAATCGGGTATGCTAGATCTCTAACGACGCATCTGAAATGGGATGCGCGAGTTGTTGAGATCGAGAACAATAGCGATGAGAGACTCCTCATCTGCCAGAAACCCTTCTTCAAAAGACAGTCAGTCTAACTTCCTCTGCAGCTAAATATATTCATATTGATATCGTAAATTGCATGATTACGTTCGTAAATTCATTTGTGGACACCAAATAGAGGGATATAACGGGACAGGGAAGTAAAGAAAATTAAACAAAAAGGATATGCATAATGAGTTGCTGGGAATGAGCCGCAGACGCCTGTGGAGCAGCAAGGCGGATAATGAGGCCGTGTAAATTTACATGAACCAGGTTTGGTTTTTTCTTGTGGTTTTATTTTAAGAACAAGTTACAGGATATATTTATTTGTGGAGATACAGTTTCTGTTCCTTTTTTTTTTTTTTTTCTATTATTATTTATTAGTGTATAGTTAGCAGCAAATAAATGATTCAATGTGGGCATTCCTTTTTTTTTTTATTTAACTATTTTTTGACGGAATATCTTAGTCAGAATGCACAGCTGTTTAATGGCTGCATTTACCATCTTTTGTTGTTCTCTCCCTCTAAATTTGTGATTGCAATCTTTATTTTGAATGTTGTACACCCTATTTTAATAATAATGAATTTGTGATATTGAACTAGGAATTGTTAGTGTTGAGGTAGAACAACAAACGCAACGAACAAAAATACCCATGCGACAAATATGACAAGCACTATTACTTATGAAAATAAGCCAAAACAAATAAATAAAAGACGAGGAAAAAAAAAATCACAAAATTTGTAACGGAGTACGGCCAATATTGTCTACGTCTTTGGGCACTGCTAGCCGCAACGTCAAATTTACTAAATTTACCAACAAAATACAATTAGGGTTAAATAACCCATAAATTAGTATTCTCTTAATTAAGGATTTTTTTTTTAATACATAAAAGAATAAAATAAGGTGCAATTGTAATACAAAGGCAATAAACATATTTATACTAAAAAAATTCTACACATCTTTGGTGTACATCCGATGTGGGACAACAATTAATCAAAATTTAACAGTTAGTAAGTACTGGATAACGACGCAAGTATGCATTGAATTGGCATTACATTTGCATATTTGAATCTAAGGAAATGAAATAATATATCAAGTTAAATTCTGAAAATTAGTAATCTGTTAATGTATAAAAAAGTTCGATATTTACATTCGGAGAGCGATGCCACATTCGGACCTGGTAGAGCAGGAGTAAAGCCGGTTACTGGTATTCATAGTTCGAGATTTATGCCATGACCTTTGATTTTAGTTAGGGTCAGACATATGGCTCGCCGCAACTACACTGCTCAAGATTGCTTTTCTTAAGGCTTTCATTCCAGTCCCTCTGTCTTCCATTACGAGTAGTTCTCATTCGATTGCTTGGACAATCCTTTTTTCAAAATAGAAATGGGCTACGATAGCGGTTCCTTATTCTTAATTTAACTCTCATTG